GTTTCAGCAGGTGGGGCCATTTGGATCCCTTGTGTTGCTTTAAGTTTGTAAAACCACTGTAAGCCAAAATCATCTTTCCCGTTTTTGCATCATATATTCTGCAATATATTATTGGGCCGAAAGCCAAATAAACACAAAACAAATGATACCTTTAAGGTAATGGGTTTTCCATATGTTATACAACGAGGATTTTTAAAACATTTGCATTGAGAAAAGTGATTAATATGATTGTTTTGACTAAATTAATTATGCAACTTTAAAAGAAATGTAGTATTTAATTAAAGTAGAATTTCACAAATTTCATAAAAACAGAAATAGATACAGTTGTTTAAAAAAACGGGTTTCATAGCGACACCCGTTTTTTATTTCGTTGTCCAGACGAACAAAATGAGGTTAATAAGCTTGAAAGTCAGCAACCTGATTGTGGCAAAATCGTGATTGCATTTCCTATTTACAAGTGAAACTCCGTCTTTGGGTAATTCGAACATCAACTGAAAATTTTAGTAGCAGTATATTTCCGCAGTATATAACTTCTTTTTCATAATTGTATTGGTTGGTAACTATGGAGGGCGATCGTTGCCAAAATTCCAGACATGTAATGTGTTCCTTTTGAAAACTACTTTTGAAAATGCGAACATGTATGTCTAGCATCTTTTATTGCATTCGTGCACAGCAAATGATATGCCTCTTAATGAAGTTTTAATCCAATCTTTTTAATTGAAGGCATCCCGCCTTTAAATAACACGTTTTACATTGAAAATTTAACAAACTGACTAACATGGGAGAACAACAACAACATACAAATTCGTATCTACCATTTCTTAATATAACATGTTTACACACGTGTAGATAATATCTGTACCTGAAAAAACACAAATTGAATTGTAAACTAGAATGCAAAAATATAATTTTAATAAACGTGTTTCAAGTCGTGAATCTACAACAGTACGTTTTTAACACAGTTACATGTTTAAATGACAAAAGTGAGATTCACACATATTTGAACGATCCTATAGGTCATGCATGACGCCCGCCCTCTCTCTGAGTATTTGCGATTCTTCCTTGATCACTGGAAATGTACGGGACAAGGGTTTTTTAGGAGTAGTCACCGATTCGCACTTATGTGACTGAATTGTATATCTTCATTCTGTCTTACTTTCATATGAACCGCTGGCACTGTAGTGATAAATACGCGGTTACGATTTTGCGAGTGATTATTGACCTTTTACAGTGAACTTAAACGACCATGAAAGTTTTCCAAATTCCAAAATCAGCCTAAAATCTTGTTTATACGCATTTGGCGCATTGTTTGAACAGATTGACGTGTGTAAAAAATTTATTAGTGGAGCCCCTGGTGTTTTATTTTTCCCTCAATAGAGTTATAGGTAAACAAAATAGCAGTACCGGCACTAGAACATCACTTACAGAAAGTCTTGTTTTTCGTGCAACCTTGAACAGAGAATTTGGAAACATTGATTGTTTCTAAACCATGGGTCATATTAAGTAAACTTTTGTTTTCCACAAGGAAAAGCGCTTACTCATTTCCGATTATTTTACGAGAGATACAATTTTCGCGATCTAGATTTTTATAACATGATCAATAATGGTATGTACGGGAAATAAAACATGACATTCCTTCTGTACTCTGAATTAATCATGTGTGAGGAAGAAATGCACCATTATTTGATGGTTATTGAAAAGAGAGATTTTCTGGAGTATTTTGTACTGCCAATTTGATCCTAGTATGTATGCTCAACAGTACGCCCAGTCCTGATCTTGCAGGAGTCAAAGACCAGTTTCATGTGTGGTCAAGATCATATTAGTTGGAGTGGAATTTTGATTTATGTCAAAACAATTTGAGTTTTGGATAAAATGTGGTTAGTATAATGTGAAATTAATTTTGGTGTCACTGTTCATTGTTTTTGTTTTTTCCAATAGTCAGACTATCTTAAAAATTGTGACCTGGAACAAAAATTATTAATGATTGTTTGATAATCAGTTTAAAATTCCTAAATATAAAAAGACTGAACAATCATTTACTCAATGTATAGCCACTTTTTTTTTATTAAGTTAGGGACTACCACCACTCCTTTAATAAAAGACGTTTATGAAGGATTATTTAAATCTTTTTTTGTTAATAGGGATTTATACATTGACTCAAGTTTTTAATTTTTAATGATTCCAAACAGAATCATGAACAAAATGTAATACCTTACCCAGGAAAAACATGATTTCAGCAACCCTTAATGTAGCATTAAGTAAATGTGAAAATATCTCAAATTGGCCAGAATTATCTTTTCATATGGACTTGAAAGCATTTATCCAATTTGAAAGAAATCACAATTTTAAGTGGACTGAAAAAGGGGAATTGTGCAAAAAATGATCAGATGCTTTACAACACGATATATGGCTATCTCACAATATAGCTTCTCTATAATTTCTATAAAGTGTAAAAATTGTATAAAATATATGTAACCATGCAGCTAAACTGAAATTTAATCTATGTATGCATGGAATATAGAAAATTAAGTAGCAAATCATTTCATACAGTGTTTGATTTCTCTTAAACTCTTTACAATGGTTGTTTTTTTTTTGTTTTTTTGTTTTTTTTTTATTATTAACAATTACAAAAATACAAATGTAATTATATTTAGAAATTCTAAAATATTCACTTTATTGATATTCATTTCATTTTGTTAACAAGAATATTTGAAGCTGTAGATGATATGTTTTGAATTTGTAACATAATATAAACATTTACAAGACATCTTCCAGATTGACCACAATAGAGAAATTTATGTGGCTTGTAAATAAAAAAAAATCTTGTAACAGTTATCATATTTTATATATTAATTAATATAAAAGGACCATTACAGTTATCAAAATTGATTTATTAATAAACATGTCAGGGCTATGCAGGAGATTAGTGCTTTTCATGTATTTAAAAAACAACTTATAATGAGGGCCCAGTGGATTTGTTCTTTTCTTGAAAGTTGAAAACACAAACCTTTTTTAGGCAAAGACTGTTAGGAGCGTTTGGCATATGTGTATATTAATTTGACCTTTATAGCTGAATGGCTTAAAGCTTAGTATTCATTTGTCTAAATACTAGAACAAAACATTGCTTCTTGGACAGTCAAAGTTCTTGACAAGAAATGTAAATAATACATAATTGAGCCGTGTCATGACAAAACCAACACAATGGGTTTTGCAACCAGCATGGACCCAGACCAGCCCTATCCCCCGGGGCGGGTCTGATCTGTTCCCTACCCAGTTTCTCAAACTTTTTTTGGGGTTTTTGGGCCAAACAGCTTTAATTTCCTGATAGATTCGCAGTTTCCCGCAGGTTTGGTCTGGACCATGCGGGGTTCGAAAACCCATTATGTTGCTTTTGTATGCGGGGTTTAAAATAATTTTCCCAAAAATTCCATAGGTCATTTGAAAAAAAGAGTTTGTTACATTTTATTTTTTCTCTGGAGAAATTGGGCCCTTATTTTTGATAGTTTGCACAAATATCTTTTTTAAAAGGTCACAAAATTTTAAAACAGTTTTAGTTACTTTTAAAAAATTGGCCATGTTTAGCTACGGGGTTTTTTACTTTTCCCCAAAATGTAATTTGCTTATGGGGGTATTGAAAGTTTTACTGTATAAAATTTAAAAAATGTAGCTCAGAAGGAGATATTTTATGAGATGATTTAATTTCAAATTTTAAGTTTCTGCATTTTTGACAGATATCTGTAGATGTTTGAATGGATCAACACCATTTATTTGTTATCGTATTCTGACATTTAGACAGACAGTGGACTATATTTTGACATTTATTAACATATAGTTGGTTATTTTCTTTAAACAACAGGACTGTTACTGTATAATTAAATGATGTTTTCATACTGTACAATTCTTATATACAGTACTATATACATGTATATAATTAATTAAATGTCACATCTTCTGTTTTTTAGGGTATATGACAAAAAAAAAAACAACAGAAAGATGTGTTTCATCCAGTGTTCACAGGGGTTGAAGAGCTTTGCTAGCACTTACAACTACAGCTAGGCCAAATAAACATTGTGTACTAGGTACATGTATAAAATAGTACAGTTGAACTTGAAGGCAGAAAACATAGAAGAAATCAGTGATCAAAGTATCTGTGGATCTGAAAGTGGGAAGTAAATATTATGAACAAATGACTTATGTGATTTTCATGCATTTACAGAAGATAAAATAAGGATTTTTGACCTTTTTTATTTATTTTAAAAATAAAATTTGGGATGAAGAATTATGTGACATATTACTACAGCAAATATCAAATCAATTCATCAATCAGAGCCAAATAGCAGTCTTAAAGTCTTCATCACTGCAAAAATGTTGAAATATGGTTAGACTTCAATACTTGTACAGTATGGACCATCATCAGATACCTGCATTCGACATAATGATTAAGTTAAAGTAACTTAGTGTTGGAACACTTTCTCATGGAATTACAGTATAGTGTGTAATAAATTTCAGGTCAAGGTTTTGCCCAGGTTTTGTCCAAAATGATAAGTTTTGTGAAAGGCAACACTGTCACAAATAATCCTTTGACAAATTCATGAAAACTACACATATATTGGTGCTGCAAGTTGTGACCTTTGTCAAAAGGATGTAATGATGGAAATTGTAGAAATTTATTTTTACTGGTATTATGAAATACATGTGCATGTGCAATTTAAATTTTTAAACAGTTATATAATCAGAATCTTTTAAGTTTCCTATCAACACTCGCATCAAATGGCTGTACATATGTTTAAAATTCTGGCATCATTTTTAATGAAAATTAGATATTTTCTTACACAATTTTGTAATTTTTGATAAATTTTAAAATTAGCTGTTTCTGAAACTTTAAAATTTACTGTGTGAGATATTGTGTAATACATTAAGGATGTAACAAGTTGAATTTTGTTGACATCATTTTCTTCCCAGATCAGGACCAGTATTTTGTGAATGATATAAATCTCCTTTATAAATTTGAATTTTTAGGGTGTTTACAGTATCTATGTTATGACTGTTGCATATTTATAAATGAGATAGCACTTTTAATTAATTAACAATGAGTTATGTCTATTTCTTTCATAGTCTTAAATAAATGTAGATCTGCTGGAACCTATGTTATTATTACATTGTAAATGATAGCATTTGAACTGGGGACATTTGTTTCACATTAGCATCATATCATAGAACAAGCTGCATAAATCCTGCATGATTATATTTGTTTAGGAATATGGTTCCTGATCCTAAGTTAGATTTTTTAATTCAACTTGTAATGTCTGAACTAACAGTTTTGCTTTAACATGAAATTATTTATGGGATATTTGTCATTCATTACAACATAATAAGACTTGCAGCCTTTCTTTAAATGCTTTTAGATGTTACCTATTTGATTTTGAATCTTGCACAATGAGAGCATTGATGCAAAATTATTTCAACCCTTAGCCTGTAGAGTTTATAAATGGACATGTCTGGCTTTCATATTTAAAAGTGTTTATTATCATTTTGGGTACATTATTCATCAGGATGAAAAGTTAAAGTTAGTAAGACAACAGTGTGGATCCTGTTCAGTCTCCATAGCCTGGCTTTATACTGCTGGCAAAAAATCTTCTTAATAACCCTGCCGGGGGGGGGGGCGGGAGGGGATTGGTGGTCTTTCTCGTTCCCTATATGTGTATAGTAAATATAGTAAAAACTTAAAAACTTTCTTGGATTTAGAGCTTAGATATTCATCATGAAACATCTTCAAATGGGTGTCTACCAAGTTTGTACAAATAACATCCCTGGGTTAAAATTGGTCCCGCCCCGGGGACCTATATTACAGACGCGCGTCGTATTTTTTTTCTTTTGAATGATTTTCTATGTCATTATTTGAGAAATTATTGATAAGTTAACTTCCATACTTGCTGATTGTAACAACGATTATGTACATGTTTTTCTTTTAATGTAGTTGTTGTATAGGCATAAATTCTTTTAATCATTTATTATGTACTGTTATTTCTTTTTATGTAGTTTGATGTATATAATGTTTATAAAAGTTTATTATGTTTATTACAAGCATATTGTTCAACAAATACCCCTTAAGTGTAAGAATTAGTGATACCCCTTTTATGTTTCTTTTCAATGTAATTCTAATTGATAAAAGGTTGTTTACACCTTATAGGTAATTAAATTTGTTGTCCTGTAACATGTTGGTTCATTGCTGTCTGGATTAAGTTGCTATGGTCATCATGGAAACCAAGCTTAACAACCAAAGCATATATAAGGGTAACCCTAGGGTTCATTTTTATATATGCTTTGCTTCAAATAAAATTATTTTGTGGAACCAACTTTCGTTACAGGTAAGAAATTAATTATTTTAATATTTATAATTTTTGTTATTTACTAAGATTACAAATATGTTGTACAATATTTTCTATCTTAATAAAGATTCTGTATAATGTTTTCAATATTGATAATGTTTTCAATATAACAATATTTCTCTACAATGTTCTATAATGTTTCATGTATAAATATTTTATCTTAATGTATTAATCAGAAAATCTCTTAAATAATTTTGATTTTATAGTTACAAAATTTATATAGATATTCCATTCTATGTTCTCTCATTTGTAAGACATAAGCGAGTATAATTCCCAATATTAAATCTTTTTTATTATATTATTTGTGATATCATATTACTGTGATGATTGTAAAAATTTGAGATATATATATATATATATATGCTTTGCTTCAAATAAAATTATTTTGTGGAACCAACTTTCGTTACAGCGTTTTTACTAAGAAATTTACTGGAAGAAAATAAACAAGAGCAAACCAGAATCTTGAGTTTACAATAAGATAAGGTTCCAATAAAGACAGTGCCACAAAAAGTAAAAGGTTCCCCTCCCACGTCAAAACAAACCAGACGAGAATAAACCCTGTTACATGATAAAGCTTAGAATTCCTAAAACAGTTTAACAGAAAAGGAGGTTTTTGTTTACTTGTGTACAATTAGACAGAATTGATATACCTTTAGTGTCTTAAGTTACTTCTGATTATATTCTAAATAATGCTGACCATTGTAGTTTAATTAAAAACAATTTTGAATGAAGTTTATTAAATTATTACCATTGATTTACCTAAATAAAATAATAATATGTAGGCTCTTGCTTTGATTTAATACATATTTAGTAGACATTTTACAATGTAACAATGTGAATGGGTATCATAATTTCACTGAACTTAGTAACAATATGACTGGGTGTCTGACTCAGAAAGTTAAGTATTAAACCAGTACTGAAGGCATAAATTGTACTTTAAAACCTGAAATATCCAACTTATCTTAAATATATATTGCCTACTCAATAACTAGATTATCCCAACCTATATATATATTTAGTGTTCTGGTCAAGTTTGATCTTGTTTTTCTATTGTTACTATTGACTTAGGATGTTAATTTCATAGGAAAAGATATTTGTCAATTTATCCCTGTGATTGTGAGTGACCTTACAGCCAACTTATGTACTCTTATTTTTGTTATGACTTTTTGTGATCAACCCTTTATACATTATATTTAGGTGTATGTTAAATCAATAAAATATTGCATTTGTTATTTCATATTGCATATTGTTTTGAAAATGAAGACTTACAGGTGTGAAATAAATTCATTGATGATCTACAGTGCAGTTATTGTTTTAACTTAACTATTTGAAGAAAAATGGGACTATCCTTTACACCTGGAATTCTTCATTAGTGTCACATCTTAATGTTTTTCGTGCAACTAATGGCTTGCACTTCACCTTGGTTTGAAATCTTTTATGTGTAAAAGACTTTGCACACACTCTAGCATGGATTTTGACAGAAGTATGACCCTCTGAACTTCTGATTTAGTACAGGTGAATGTTTTGCCTGCAAAATTAATCTTGAAACTTAAGGTATTAGCACCCTAATGCATTACCTCCGCTTTGAAGAGTATTTAAATAGGCTAGAACTACTGTTAACTACATTGAAAATGAGGGCCATGGGTTCAATCCCCAGAAAGGTCAACTTTTTTTTTCTTTCTTTTTTTCTTTTAACATTATTTATGTATCTCTCATGTCCCATTTGGAAAGAAAAAAAAGTGTTTAATTTTGATTTTTTAATTTATATAGGTATTTATTGGCTAAATTATGCTAAATCTAGTAATAAATATGGTACCTGATATTTTCAAAGTGTAATATAATCAAAACTAGACGGTAAAAGTATTTCATATTTTACAAGATCAACCAATATACTTTTTTAAAAATTTAGGGAAACTTTGAAAACAGGCACTCATTTGGGTAAATTTTAATAATTTTTTAAATTAGGCTCCCTAAGTAGAAAAATGGTCAGACACGTGGTAAAAATGGGTGGAGTAGGGTAACATTTTTATACAGATTTCATAAATTTTAAGTAGAAACCATAATTTTGCTTATTTGGATTGTTAGCTGAATGGTACTATTTGTTTCTTACCAAAAATTAATGGGAAAACATTTTTTATTAGAATGTTATTGCAGATTATTTAAAGGTTCCTACTTTCTAAAAAAGGGCCCTCATAACATCCTAGCTTGAGTTAAGAAAAGTGGCCATAACTTGATTTCCGTACGGTAAACTTTGTTTAAATTTTGCATACAGGTGTACTTTAAGGTATACATCTGACTTATGATGTCATTTTTTTAGTTCCTGATAGTGCCCATTAGGGTCCTAATACCTTAAAAATAGTATACTTTGGATGTCTCTGTCAAAGGCTCATAACTTGTGAATTTTAAATGAAATATGGCCTCATGCGAACATTAAAAAATGCAAGACTTGATCATATGTAAATAAATAAAATATTCCTTAGTTAATTCAAACATTTTCCATCAAGTGCTGAGTATAGTTGAATAGAACAACTGTTCTATTGACAGCCCTTATTGATATTAATGGACAAGCTTGTGGCTCCTGATTGACTACAATATTATTAAATAAAATACCTGAATTTCAAATGAGTAACCAATGCAGATTTACTATTGATGTGTAAAATAGTGTTGGTTGAGTCTGCAGATATATGTATGTAGTATGTATGTCATTTTGCACATACATGTATATCACCTACAAAACCTGCCCATCCATGAAAAACACAGGCTAAGAAAGTACGTCAAATATTATCTTGGATTTTCTTAAATGACCATCATTAAAGTTAGATGATACTGAATTTGTATGTATGATTATTATAGACGTTGAAATATGTTTTTTTTTGTTTTTTTTTTTTCAAAAACGGCCTTTATTAAGTTTTAATTGATATTTATGATCAGTACATGTGCTGGGATTTACAAATATACATTTTATTTGGATTTTAAAGGATTTTAACTTTGAGCTCTACACTCCAAGTGTCTGTGAGAAAATATAAGAAAAATCATTTTAACGGCCTGAAGTGAACTTTCTTGCAGCCAGTATTCGTATTGAGCTACCGTTTACGTAGACTCCATTACAATTGACGATCCGTAAATAATATATTATCGCAAATTAACCATTTTGGTAGCTTTATTGGGTCATTTATTAGAAACGTTTAATAAAAACAATTTTAAGTAAAGTACAAATAAACACGCATTGTTTACATTACGGTGCGTCAAATTCAGGCATGTGACAATTCGTTACAAGTAAGCTAGTCACTGATTGGCTGAAGTGTAGACACGGATTTTCCTGTCTAAAAATAGAAATATCGGTCTGAACCTACAATTTTAGCAGAGGTAAGAAGTGAGCGATAGTGGAACATTCGACCGATGCGCAGGAGAGTATAAAAATATCTAATGAAACGCAATTATTATAGGGAATAAAAAAGATATATTTGCCAAAATCTTTCTTTAAACTGTCAAATTTGAATTGAAATTTGTCAAAAAGTAGTTCTTTACTTTTCAAATACTCAAATATCTAAGTTTATAAAACTATTTGTACATGTCTAAGATGTTTTCACTCACTTGTAGGCATATTTTGCTTCGGAAATGAATCAAATTGTTAATTATTATCAAAGAGCAAACATGAATAATGTTTTTAAAACATAATTGATGTATCTGAAGGAAGTTGCGCCAAATTTGAAAATATTTTGTCAATGCTTTAGCAAAGGTGTGAAATTCCAAACAAAATATTCAATAACTATAACTATATTAACATAAGAAAAAGGTCGTAAACTCAAGACTGTCTTTTCATGTCATAGAAGTTTATCATTTACTGATATTTGTCAATTTCGTGATTTCAATAATTAATATCCTAAATAATCTTGAATGCTTTATTTCTTCAACTTAATATAAAAAGCTTTTTATGCGCTATTTCCCTAATGTATTTATCGGTGATTCGGAAGTTACCGTGACGTAATCACGGTTGATGATAAAGCATGTTTCAATAACTGGGAGTTTTGGGATGACATAATGCTACAAGCCTTTGTTATAAACATAAATCATGTAACCGATCAATTAAAATAATACTTATTAAAAAGATTTTGAAAATTTTGATCAAATATAGAAAATATTATCAATGGAATACAAAGCAAATGTCATAATTATAATTAATGGCTAGCTACATTGTTACTCATAATTTGCTTACGAAATGGTCGTTCGAGAACAAGAGCTGCCGAATGCTAGCTATTTTATCAGTATTAAATGTGTGACTGAGTAAAATCTGCTTAACTGTTTGTTATTAACTATGTGATTTTTCATTTGCTTTACAGGGGTAGATAATCTTAATTAATTTATACATTGCAAGCCTTAAAAGAGCATAATACAATAATTAATGAGAAAATAAATCCAGAGCTTCATAGGAAAATCGGGTTGTAGTATTTCTATTTATAAATCCTTAGTATTTTATTGTGATATTCGAATCGATCGTTTGCATGCTTTCCATTACAAAACATTCTTTATATTATGTAGACATTTTCTTTTATTTTTTTTACTATATAAATAGAGATGTTTTTATTAATAAAGTTATAGTTCAAGAATACAAAATTTAAACAGTCTGAATTTTGGAATAATGTCCTTATAATCATCGATATATGTTCTGTTTATCAAATTATTTTCCTTTCATATAATTTTATAGCTGTTTTTTTAAAGCCTGAATACAAAATTCAAACAATCTGAATTTTGGAATAATGTCCTTATAATCATCGATATATGTTCTGTTTATCAAATTATTTTCCTTTCATATAATTTTATAGCTGATTTTTAAACTGTTTAATGCACAGTAGTTTAAACAAAAAACTACTATTTCATGCTAAAATATTTAATTGAATTGCATTAATATAATCTTGTTCATATTATAATAAGACCATTTAAAAGATAGACAACTTTTAAAAGAATGTTGTGATTTGTCAGTAGAATAGCAGAATAAATGTAAACTATCAATAAAATATAGTTTTTAAACCGATTATTTCCAGACAAAGGTCACAGACAAGACTATATCAAATTTTATTTATTTTACTCAAATTAAGATTTTCCAAATTGACAATCTTGCGGCTCTGTATATTCGTTTTGATTAATATCACACTACAATTTAAAAGTGTAAGTGACCTTTACGAATGCTTCACACTGCAATTTAAAAATATGCATGACTTTTTTACGAATGCTTCATTAGAACCTTCGCTAAACAAAACATCAATTTGTTTTACTGTCGCAGATCATAAGATTTACCTAACAATAATGCAAAATATTGCAAAGAAGAGTTACTTTTACATCAAAATGATGACCAAATGAAAGCAATTGCAGCTTACATATTTACGGTCGAAGGCCAGTCTAAAATAAGTTTGACTTCCTGTAAAATTTACTGTGAAGAACTGAATATAAGAAGAGTTTCAGTGGTCAAAATGAAATCTTGGACACTCATTTGCCATTCTAAAATAAATTGTAAAGGATAGTTCTAAAAAAATGTACAAGATAGTTTTTTTAACTTTCAGATTAAATTGCTCAGGTATTTAAGGTCTGTTTAACAACATTTAAGGTGTCTTATATATTTTTTATTGAATTGTTCAATTGATATAATGTTTATTATTTTCATATATCTGTATATAAATCAAGTATTTATAAAAAAAACAATTGCCTACCGACTACTTAGATATTGGTGTAAGAAATTGAATTCATTTACCAAAACATGACTCGTTTTGAAACATATATACATAAGTATTCGATTTGTCAAGATAAAATAACCCTACAAGACATTATTATATCATTGATATGCAAGCTATGCAAAGATTTCTATATGGCTTTGCATGGAAAACTAAGAACTAACGTATGCAAGAAAACAGGTTTACTTCGACCGAGTATCTTATTTTAAAAGATACTTTTTGTTAATATTATCTATTATCATACAAAAATATGTTGTTTATTTCTAACATAAATTTGTTGTTGGACAATTTTAAATTTGAACGACTGTAATTTCAGTTAAAAAGATATTATTACGTAATAATAAATGTGTATTTATCCATTTCAAAGTATCAATGATAATTGTTATTCAAATCAACATGATATAGCTAAATGTACAAACTATAAACGCTCAAAATACTATTTAATTCCCGTTAATATTTGTCAGATATTCACATACCTATTAAAACACTTTGTCTAATATTGTAATGAGAGGAGAATGAAAGCCTTTTTTGTAAATAAGCTGTACTTGCGAATACTATGGTGGCTAAACTACGCCGTGTCGTATGTTGCTTTTTTGCGTTGAAAATACAAAAATGTTGGAAAAAAACACGAATAAACTACAAGTTCATCATCAAAGGAAAGCGACGAAACAATCAGGCAAAAGAACGACATAGATGAATGCGTCACATTTGCATTACACCCGTCTCTGCTTTTTACGACAAAAAGCAACAATACGAACTTGCAAACACACGACTAAGTCTAAAAAGTTCGTATTGATTAATCTTTTGCCCTTAAACATTCACTTTTTAACATAGTAAATTAAGTTTGTTAAATTTCGCCAACCATGGAATTTTAGGGCTTATGCATTCTTTTTGTGTGCGTACATCATTAACCATTTTTTGTCGAAGGGCACTTACCTCATTGAAAATTCGTGTTCACCGCTGCGGATGTTTTAAAATTCATTTTTTTATGAGAAATGTTGACAAGGAGCATGGAATGTAACTCACTTTTCAGTACCGTCCATTATTATAGCTTATGCATTATTTGTGTGTGTGTGAACCATTATCCACTTTTTATGGAATTGTACTAAGACAATACTGAAAAAACAATAATGTAATTGCTTTCATTTGGTCCTCAATTTGCTTTTAAAAGCACATTTTTGAGCATTATTGTTGACCTATTTTGCATTATTCACATCAGTAGAAACTTTTGTTACAAAATGTGTATAAATTAACATATATGTAAAATAATAAAAATATTCTGACGTTTGTATTAATTAGTTATTAATTAAGTAACAGGTTGAATGTGCATCCAATATTCCATTTGTTGTAGCATGTGGTATCTGTGTAATTATCTGCATCATTTGCCTTTTCGCCTCGAGTTGAACTTCGTCGTATACACCTTTTTTCCTAATTACCTAAGCAGAGAACAATTATACGACAGGTTGGAAATTAGCCATTAAAGCTGTAAGAAGTATGAAAAATAACCCTGCAACAAGTGATTTTGTGTTACCAAACTGCCATTGAGTATTAATTTTGTCGCAAGCGATGAAATTTCTCACTAAAGTTGCTTTGGTAACTTGTTAGCAATTGTATGTTTTGATCAAAACTCAAATCATTAGAACTTCTGTTCTGTCTTCAAAAAATCTTTTTATCTAATGTTAAAGCTTTCCACTACGATTTCTTAGTGTTTAAAAGTGGTCTCCGTAGGCTTCTACGCTGGAACAAAACTTATTTTGACTCATTAGTAAAAAATGTAGAAACGATCATTTAATACTGCGAACGTTCCGTCCGTGATTCCTTTTTTGTTTTTGTTTGTTGCCCTGCTGGGCTCCTAGTCAGTGGTCCTTTGTGGATGTTTTCTCGGAGGATGTGTTCATTAAATGCCATCTTCCTTGCTTATTTTGGTTTTTGAATATTTTAATATGTTATTTACTTAAGATTGAAATAGACTCTCTTATGCATATCTTTTGTTGGTTTTTGTTTGTTATGACTTCACGGCTACGTCTACAATAACAACTACAATAAAAATGTAATAGTAATAATTATACCTGCTTACTGTCATATTTTCATTATTTACATTTATCGAAGAATAAATCTACCAAGTCATTTCTTCTTTTCTGATTGATTATGTATGTTTGCTTGCAAGCAATGGACACAAAGCACATACTCTGAATGCAGCATAAACTTTGATCAGTTGCATGCAGACAATGAATAGACAACAAAAACACACCACTTTGAAACACTGCGCTAAAGAATCGGTTATTTTTTGATAAAGTAATTGTGATAACTACTCACAAAAAGCATCAAATCGAACCGATTTTTATATCGATAATGACTACCACTTGATACATATGAGAAAAGACTAGAAATGGGTCATTGTAGGAGAATCTCAAATCTTACTTTGAATACATGTTAGATTATAAAATAGTCAAATAGCTATTAATTAATAATATTAATCTCATAGTGAAATGCAAACTTTGATTTGAAGACATTTGGTTTTCAAAACATATTATAAGTGACAGATTTTTTAGTGATAAAAGTTAAAAAAATATAAGAAAGAAAAATACTAAATGTTTTCAGAATATGAAATATTCACCCCATCTCCAATTTCCTGGTTGCCTTTACTTGCTTTAAGTAATAATGAATAGCTATTGAAACATT